TCTATGATGTTCAATAGCATTTAAGTTACAAGGATTACCAACAGGGTGCAGCACTATTATTTCTTTTACATTTATGACAACAGCTAATTTGCAACCAAATGAGTGAGCGTAGCGAACAAACTCCAACCTGGAGGCGAGTTAGCGTAGCGAACAAGCTAACCTGAAGGCAAGTGAGTGCAGCGAACGAGCTCCAACCTAAAAGTGAGTGAGCGTAGCGAACTAACTTCATCCAGGACGTGATTGAGCCATGCGAACGAGCTCACTTATGAAGTTAAACGGGGCAAAGCCCGCGGGTACAGCTAGTAAATATATAAATACATATATATATATATATGAATTTGAAAGGATAGTGTTTTTGGCTTCTAGGGACATTAAAATTAAAAAGTAAATCGGTCCCGGGTCCAAGTCTTACCATGAGACCTACGGTAATAGCTTATTCCCTAAAAGTTGCCGTTTGTACAACTGAACCAAGTTAAATGATTTGAAATGTCATTGTTGCACAATAATAATGATTGTGCAATATTGAATTTCATTGATAAAAGTTCAAATTGTGACGTTAATGTGTGTTTACAGCGTTTTAATGGGTTTGTCATCTGATTTTATACTATATTGTATTAACCGTATTTTTCATTACCCCCCTCCCCCCCCTATTAACTCAGGTGATCGAGTATCTAAACAATAGTACTGTAAACAATAGTATTGTAGCCTATGCTACTTGATTGTATTTTAACGAGCTTTATGTCAACAAAGCGTTCTGTGCTGAGTCGCGATGTAGCTTGTGTCTGTGCCACGCGTTATTATCTTTATCTATCTCAGCAGTTGAGCCATTCCGTGCCCTCATTCTTAGATCTCACGTCTTGCTAATCTTAATAATCTGAATAATAACTTCCTACACGAATCCTAGAAATTAGTATTTAAACTAATTGAATTCAATAATATAACTATTGTCATTAATTAATCGACTTTCTATCTGGTGACTTTGTAATATATTTTTGACTATCGTCACGTTGAACACTGTTGCAATCAACTTCAGCCACCCTGCATTTTTTGCAACCCTCCCAAGAATTTCAATGACACAGTCTGCGTCACAGCCCCCCCTTGTGGGCAGCCCTGGGTATATAAGCCTGATGCAGTACAAATGCGTTCACGCCAGACGCTGCATCAATAATAGTAAAAAAAAAAGAACTGGGGCTTGAAGAGTTGTTGGAGATTTTCTGGTCTAGGCTGTCAACTCCAGCTTTTGTGTGGTTGTACAGTCAAACCCAGTGCAGATCGTGAAGTAAAATCATTCCTTTACGGCTTTACTGGGGAAATAACCCTGTTATCATTTGTCCCCAAGCAGAAGAAAGCTGTGATAATGGTGTAATCAATGCATCACACTGCTGCAGATGACCCAGACACTGGAAAGCCAGATATCATAGCCCTGTCAGGGTTAACAAATGATAACAGGGTTATTTCCCCAGTAAAGCCGTAAAGGAATGATTTTACTTCACGATCTGCACTGGGTTTGACTCCAGATCGAGATATTCAAGGTGAGTCGGGGTATCATTTTTGATTATCATATTTCAATTTCATAGCTCTAATTTTTCCATTCGTCCAACGCACGATTTCATCAAGGATATTTTGTGTCATAAGCAGTTCCCATACTTCAAAGGGTGATGGGCTATCACCAAGATTTTTCGCTTTTGTCTTTAACCCTGGAATGTGAGTAATAATGTTATGACCCCGTGTTCTTGTGTTTGATGGGGGCATGGTCTTCCTCCATTTGAAAGCACGCTTAGTTTTGGTTGGTTTCCCATAGTAAAATAGATTTGTTACACGCCTACGGATCGGTTGCTCTTCACAGTTGTCTTGCATATCCATTGGATCTCCAGCACCATCAATGAATGATTTCATTCATGAGGCTTTGAATGATTTCATCTCTACATGATTATTATCCTCACATCTACAGTTTCTTCTCAATTTATTTGTTGGTGATTAACCACATCTGGCTCACCCTGTTGGACTAGTTTGTTTTCTTGTGATGCTCCCTGTAAATTTTCCTCGTCATCAGCAGAAGGAGGAACTAAATCACATTCATTTTCATTTTCACTCATTTCTTGTTCCGACTTACTGTTATGAATACTTTCAATAACATAATCTGAATCCTGATTACTATCTTCACTATCATCAGACTTGTCTGGTGGATCGTCAAGGCATTCTTCCAAATATGCCTCATAGTTTCATGAGGCAGTACTTACAAAACGCCTCGGCCTACTTCTTGTAGGGTCTTGAACAGTAGAAGTTGAAGGTATTTTGGCTGTGTTTGAGGAATCCATTTCGAACCACTGTGATGTCCATAAGTTACGCAATTACTATACACTGTCTATGAGACGTCACAATGATATATCTAAAATTACATAATCACTATACAACGTTCACGAGACGTTACTATGATAAGTAAAAAATTACGTAATCACTATACCACGCTGAGAGACGCAAATTCAAAAAGTCGGAACACTTTCACTACACAAAGGCCACCACTCGACTGAAAAGTATTGGGTGGGACTGGTTTTTAGGTGGAAGGGTGGGGGGGGGATTGGAGTGGGGAGTTTGGCTGACGTCCACGAGACATCGGTATAGTAGTTAAGGGTTAAATACAGACCGAAGACACCAAAGGTGTAGGCTAATCAAAATCGCCATTACTAAGAAATATGGGTAAAATAGGCACTATTTGAAGTCTCTGGCAAACTTTAAAAATAGACGGAATCTGATGGTTTATGTTTGTTTACATAAATTAGTTCATAAACTTTCATAATATATAGGCTTTAGTAATTTAAAAACCAATATTTAAAAAAAAATTACTTTAACAACTTTTGATAGGTACATGTATACGTTTTTTCAAAAATATTTTACCAACACTCTGAGGGGTCCTAATTCACGATAAACCCCATAAACATATATAGGAGTAATCATTTTACACAGTTTTATCTTTTATGATTATATAGTTATATACAAAAATTTTTTTTTTTATCTATAACGGTCTCACGGACAGAAGAGCAATAAATTTGTGATAAATTCCCCTTCGCAGCAAACCTGCAGTTAGTCTGCAGGGCGAAATTCCATTTGCCTGATTGAATTTACTCTTAAACATCTCCTTGCAGTAATAAAATGTAATTGTTTCCATAGTTATTGGTTTTTGCCTTCCCATTAAACTACGAAAATAACAATGATATATACCCTCATTTTAATTTTAATTTTTATCATAGAGACAGAGGACACAATATTGCCTTCCTAGGGCAAACCTCTAGAGGGAACTGCACTATCATGTCATTCACAGAATGTGTGCAAGTACCTGAGGTGTGATGGGAGGTGGTAGTTGTGTGATCGCAGGGTCCTCCTGGTCCAGGGTTACAGGAGTTCCTTGACAGTTGAGAGACAGAGGACACAACATTGCCTTCCTAGAGCAAACCTCTAGAGGGAACTGCACTATCATGTCATTCACAGAATGTGTGCAAGTACCTGAGGTGTGTTGGGAGGTGGTAGTTGTGTGATCGCAGGGTCCTCCTGGTCCAGGGTTACAGGAGTTCCTACACAGTTGAGAGACAGGACACAACATTGCCTTCCTAGGGCAAACCTCTAGAGGGAACTGCACTATCATGTCATTCACAGAATGTGTGCAAGTACCTGAGGTGTGTTGGGAGGTGGTAGTTGTGTGATCGCAGGGTCCTCCTGGTCCAGGGTTACAGGAGTTCCTTGACAGTTGAGAGACAGAGGACACAACATTGCCTTCCTAGGGCAAACCTCTAGAGGGAACTGCACTATCATGTCATTCACAGAATGTGTGCAAGTACCTGAGGTGTGATGGGAGGTGGTAGTTGTGTGATCGCAGGGTCCTCCTGGTCCAGGGTTACAGGAGTTCCTTGACAGTTGAGAGACAGAGGACACAACATTGCCTTCCTAGGGCAAACCTCTAGAGGGAACTGCACTATCATGTCATTCACAGAATGTGTGCAAGTACCTGAGGTGTGATGGGAGGTGGTAATTGTGTGATCGCAGGGTCCTCCTGGTCCAGGGTTACAGGAGTTCCTTGACAGTTGAGAGACAGAGGACACAACATTGCCTTCCTAGAGCAAACCTCTAGAGGGAACTGCACTATCATGTCATTCACAGAATGTGTGCAAGTACCTGAGGTGTGTTGGGAGGTGGTAGTTGTGTGATCGCAGGGTCCTCCTGGTCCAGGGTTACAGGAGTTCCTACACAGTTGAGAGACAGGACACAACATTGCCTTCCTAGGGCAAACCTCTAGAGGGAACTGCACTATCATGTCATTCACAGAATGTGTGCAAGTACCTGAGGTGTGTTGGGAGGTGGTAGTTGTGTGATCGCAGGGTCCTCCTGGTCCAGGGTTACAGGAGTTCCTTGACAGTTGAGAGACAGAGGACACAACATTGCCTTCCTAGGGCAAACCTCTAGAGGGAACTGCACTATCATGTCATTCACAGAATGTGTGCAAGTACCTGAGGTGTGATGGGAGGTGGTAGTTGTGTGATCGCAGGGTCCTCCTGGTCCAGGGTTACAGGAGTTCCTTGACAGTTGAGAGACAGAGGACACAACATTGCCTTCCTAGGGCAAACCTCTAGAGGGAACTGCACTATCATGTCATTCACAGAATGTGTGCAAGTACCTGAGGTGTGATGGGAGGTGGTAGTTGTGTGATCGCAGGGTCCTCCTGGTCCAGGGTTACAGGAGTTCCTTGACAGTTGAGAGACAGAGGACACAACATTGCCTTCCTAGGGCAAACCTCTAGAGGGAACTGCACTATCATGTCATTCACAGAATGTGTGCAAGTACCTGAGGTGTGTTGGGAGGTGGTAGTTGTGTGATCGCAGGGTCCTCCTGGTCCAGGGTTACAGGAGTTCCTTGACAGTTGAGAGACAGAGGACACAACATTGCCTTCCTAGGGCAAACCTCTAGAGGGAACTGCACTATCATGTCATTCACAGAATGTGTGCAAGTACCTGAGGTGTGATGGGAGGTGGTAGTTGTGTGATCGCAGGGTCCTCCTGGTCCAGGGTTACAGGAGTTCCTAGACAGTTGAGAGACAGAGGACGCAACACTGCCTTCCTGGGTCGAACTTCTAGAGGGAACTGCACTATCATGCCATTCACTCGTTTCTTTACAAGTTCCTGTAAGTAAACCATTGTTTTTACTGAAGAGATAATCAATTGTTTATTAATGAGAGACCATGAGATAAATTTGGATGGTTGAACTTTTTGAAAGTCAGGATATAATGATTGATTGATCCTGTCCGAGTTAATAATGTTTTCTAAAGAACTAAAAATCAATTTTTGTTTAATACAATAATACAGTAATTTTGCTGTGCAAACACAGTAAGGTTAGAGATAATGTAGCTGCCTGATCAGAGATACTTATCACAAAGAAACCCAATCCCATCAACCCATCCGAGTCATCTTATTATTTTTCACTTAATAAGACTAGAAATTGGTTTGTATGTTGTAGTAGTAATATTTAAAATTCCATTGTTTTATCATTACACTCAATTCTCCTAACCAATTAGTTTTGGAAAACCATTATATTTCAAAACTAACAATAGTTAAGAAAAAAAGCAAAAGAAAAGGAAACCATAAAATATTTGTTTATATATTTACAATTAAATTGCTTAAATTTACCTAGTACTTCACAAACAGTGTTTTTGTTGGTAAACTAAGGAACCCTTACTTCAAAACTGTGCATTTCTTCTTTGAGCTGATTAATATCTTCCATAAAGATATCAGATTTGTGATGAAGATCCTTGAAAATCGCTTTGTGTTCATTCATTAAGTGTTTGCCCTGCAAAAAAAATATTACTATAAAGAGGATACATCTATATATTAATTACGTAAGGAAATTCTTTATGTCAAAATTGTGAGTGACTGCGATGTCGTAGAACGACGGGAGAGGGCTCAAATTAAAGGTCTCTTTTCCGTGATGGCGGGGAAAATAGTGAAATCCCCAATATGTTAACACAAAATTAGATATAGCCTAACGTAAAATGTTCCCCTTAAGAATAGCATTGAAAACCATACACAGCTGATTTTTGTTTACTTAAATATAGGTGATCGCACTATATCTCTAAGCCAGTATTCAATACACGCAATTGGTTTACTTCTTAGCCAGTTAACTCTGCAATGTACTGTATATAGATTAAAACCAGGGATAGGGTTATCTATAATGAGACTTTTTGAAAACCAAAAACCAAACAAAAGAATTTTCGTGTTAACTGTCAGTTCTGGTGGAAAGGCATTTCGTGATTGGCTTCTACAACTGGGAAATGGAACCCTAAAAACCATAAAATATTACGCAATGTGGCTAATAAAACTGTTTATTTTGTATAGTACTTATTTACTTCCCTAAAGTTTCATCACAATCGGATGGTAGTTTAGTATCGCATAAAGGAAAAACATACGACAGACAGACAAACATAGGATTTCATCTATAGATAATAACAAAGTAACCATAGAGACTTTTTTACACAAAGATATGGTGTCTATCTTGACAAATAAATAATTGAGACTTTTTGATAACCAAAAACCAAACAAAAAAATATTATCTTGTCAACTGTCAATTCTGATGGAAAGGAATTTCGTGATTAGCTTGGACAACTAGGAAATGGAACCCTTAAACCATAAAATATTACTTAATTTGGCAAATAAAACTGTTCATTTTGTATGGATACAGTAGGACTTATTTACTTCCCTAAAGTTTCATAACGATCCAATGGTCGTTTAATAACGCATAAAGGACAAACATACCACAAACAAACATTGGATTTTCATATACAGGGTGTTTCAAAAAGGACTTAACAACTTTGATAGTTTATATAAAATTAATGAAACAAGGCACCAAGCTGGTTTTGTTGTTGTTTTAAAGGGAAACACATCAAGTTTTGATTCGCGCAATACACCAGTGCTTAGTCGCGCCTCATAAGCAACACAAGCGCTAGCGGCAGTTACGTTAAAAATGGCTGTGTTCACTGGACCTGTGTTCTGAGAGCTGTGTGTTCTGGTTTGACAAATCAAAGTCGGGGACAACAGGTCAGCGTAATTTTCTTACCAAATACGTTAAAAGTCCTCCTTGGGGCAGTGAAAATCCAAATGAAACATTGCAACATGTTCGAGATAGCGCTGAAGTGAACGTTTTTTTGTGCGTTGAGCAAGAGGAAAATGCATGCCCATTTTTTTTCCAAGAGAGAACCATTAGCGGGATAGTGTTCCTTGATATGCTGCAACAATTTTTGATACCACAGATCGATGAGGATGACCAAGAACAAAATGTTTACTTCATGCAAGATGGCGCACCACCACACTATCTGACTGACGTCCAGTATTTTCTCAATGACCACTTTCCAGGTCAATGGATTGGCCATGATGCGCCAATTGCATGCCCCCCCCCCCCCCCTGATCTGAATATTCCCCTGACCTGACACCGCTAGTTTCTTCTGGGGTTTCATGAAAGAAGGTGTACGTAATTCCTTTGACGGTCACTTTACCTGAACTTAAAGTACGAATTAACGCTGCCGCCGAGCAAGTTACGCCTGAAATGCTAGTGAGAGTCTGGGAAGAAATCGACTACAGATGGGATCCCCACAGGATAACTAAAGGCAGCCACATAGAAAATCTTTAGTTTAAGGTAAAAAAAAAAACTTGAAGTGTTTTCCTTTCAAACAACGCCAAAACCAGCTCTGTACCTTGTTTCATTAAAGGTATATGAGTTTTCAAAGATGTAAAGTCCTTTTTGAAACACCCTGTCGTTTACCGGGTGTCCCACGTAAGGTGTCTCAAATTGATTACGGAAAAACTGCTTAACGTACAAGGATGAAATCATTTCCCGCTAAGTTATTACCGCCAAGGAATAACGTAAAAATATTTTTAACTTTTTTCCCGATACAGGGATGTGTCAAAAACTGAGGGTCACTAGTTTAAGTCATGTTATACATTATTTGAAAGTATAACAGTTTATTTTTAAAATAGCGACAGTTTTTTTTATCGATATGTTTTTTATACTTTGTGTTTCCTATACCAACACACTTAGCCCTTCTCCGGTTGAATTATCTTACTCGTTATGAACTTAGCTTTACTGTGATATGCTACAAGTAACGGTTATTTGGAATAATAAAAATTCCAGAAAAATTGATTTTTGAACATTTGCAAATGCCCATGTTGTTCAAAATTTTCAAATAGCAACATATATGTCAATTGGCACATTATTTTATAGGTTTTTTTTCAATTCTTAACAACTTTGAAATTTACACTTACTTCATATCTATTTTAGTTTTTGTGTAAATAAAAAAATCCTAATTTTCCTATATCAAATTCATGTTATTTGGGTTTAACACTAAATTAAATGGGGCCAATAGTTGTGTTAAATGAGTATGCTGTCTATAGAAAAAGAAAGTTATAGGCCTGAGAATTCAGCCGTGATGGAATTATAACAGGTTGTTGTTACATTACAATTACAGTCTAATCTTCAAGAAGAACTGGTACCGGTAATATTGGGATGAATCAAATTTTAAAAATGAGTTTTGTAATTAAAAATTTTTGATTTAAAAATTCATTAAATATTGGTGATGTTTTTATTTTAAATGTTAATAATAGTCTACCTATACCTTTATAGAGAAGCTAATAACGGATGAGATAAAGATACTGATATTAACTGTTACTTTAGTACAAGTACTTCTGAGAAAAGAAGCATATAAACCTGAATGTCAGATGAGCAAATGGACTCGTGTACCCCATCCCTATTTTATACTTTAAATAAATTATTATCTTATAAAGGCGGCTCCAGACATGCACCTTTTGCCAAGCACCGAGCAGCGACTCGCCGAATCGCGAGTAGTGTGGATAGGCGTTTCTCTAATTGGCAAGCAGCTAACATTCCTGCTCGTGTTTTCCTATTCATTGTCGGTATTTTTGCACACATCAAAGTGAACAAATATTTGTTATTCCCGAAACAAACAAAAAACGTACAGTAGCTTGGAAAAAACACATGTGTGTAGACATCTACTCGTTAATCAGCAAATAGACAACTATTTCGCCGAAAGTCAAGTATTTTGTGTTTGGCGAATGGCGAATGTCTGGAGCCGCCTTAACAAAGTAAAAACAAACAATGAATTACCTCACACATGATCAAAGCAGTTTCCCAAGTGCTTGGAGCTATGATTTGTCCACTCATATACTGGTCAAACTCCTCTTTGTCCATGTTTAGGTTTTCAGCTGTCAAGTTCTCAATAAACGACACAGCACAGCACTGAAAGGCAAAGACAGTAAATCTAAATGATACAAAAGGTCCAGTAGATACAGGGTGAATAAAAAGTCAAGACCCCCCCCCCCTCTAATATTTTTTCAAGTAAATTTACAGAGATATCCTTTTGGTGGTCGTGAAATCTTAGCAGGAAGTTTCATTTTATGATTTTGAAATTTTTGAGTGTCCCCCCAAAAGGGGGGATTTGGGGGGCAACTCAAATATTTTAAACGGAAAACCCCCTTCAAGTGACACCTCATTTTGAAGTGTTTACAAAAACTTAAAGAATGGTGAAAACTAGAGGTCGCTATCTCTTCTCTATCCAAAATGGTAGCCCGTCAAATGTTGTGAAAATAAACAATGGTAAAATTGGTTCGTGATGGTAATATTGGCTACCATTTTGGATAGAGAAGAGATAGCTAACTCTGGTTTTCAGTGTTTTCACTATCTTTAAGTTTTTGTAAACACTTCAAAACGAAGTGTCACTTAATGGGGGTTCACATTTAAATTTTTGAGTGTCCCCCCAAAAGGGGGGATTTGGGGGACAACTTAAGATTTTTTAATGTAAATCCCCATCAAGTGACACCTCATTTTGAAGTGTTTACAAAAACTTAAAGAATGGTGAAAACCAGAGTTCGCTATCTCTTCTCTATCCAAAATGGTAGCCAATATTACCATCACGAACCAATTTTAAAATTACAATGGCAAAATTACGTCATTGCCGTCTTCTATCGTGACGTCATGCTGGACGAGCATTACGGCCTGTTTTTTTTAGTGTGGCCTTGTGAAAAATAGTGGGGGTAGCTGAAAAGTATTCCGAATTTGAGGGAATTTTTACATGTTGTCTGGGGGTACTCTGGGATGTATATCCTGAGTTTTCAACCTCTAGTACCCTGTGCTAACTTTAGGAGGGGCCAAAAACATCAAAACTTTCGGTATTTTTTATGTTTTTTGTGTATATGTTGTGAATTAGGGGGGCCACCAGTTGACCGACAAGATACTTGGTCGTTTAGCCACTAGACCGTCTTTTTTAATTAAATAGATAAATACTGAAAACCAGTACGTCGACAAGTTATTTCGTCGTCAGTCCAGTTGACCGGCCTGGAAAACTTAATTATTATATGCGAGAAACAAACTGTTCGCCAATCGACCCGGCCGACATACAACTTGCTCGTCTTTTAGGTGGGTATGTGTTGAGCGGCAGCGCCAGCAGCTGTGGAGGACGCTGCAGGCGTACCAACTTCAGTTTCTTGTAGTGGCGGTTTTTATTCCGACGATTTTCAGCTATCACAATGCAGCGGACTAGCGAGGTTTTTTATTACGTGTAATTGTTTGTTTCTCAATCGATATATTTTTGAAATACATTACAGTGAATATAAATAGGCCTATATTAGTTTACTTCAATTAAATAAATGTTTTATTTTAGCTAAAAAAAAAACGCCGATTGAACAAATAAAATTGTTAAAGACAACAGGAAGTCCTTAAGGTAATAAAAAGGTTTTTATCTTTACTAAAGAATTACTGAAATTTGTTAACTTACTGCTGGCCACAAGGGTGGTACCATGCATAGGTTTATCAATAAATAAGATAAACATGGACAACGTTATGCGGCTATAAGTTAGGAAATATTTGTAGAAACATTAAAAAGCAATACCAAGTTATGAAATATCGTAAAATATTTACAGGAAATGTTGATTACTGTATATACATCGTGAGTACATGAGTTACACACCGGTGATTTTTGAGTTGACTCTTTTAAACTCATTGAAAATATGACTGTTTTTCGTTTTGAAATAACTTCTGTAATACTTTGAAATTTCTCGAATTCGAGCAACATGTACACGAGTTTGAATATTAATTAACTAACATATTTTTGTAATAGCAGGGTCAAATATTGTGAACAGTGGTGAGGTAACTACCGTTACATTTATTCAATAGAGAAATAAATACAAAATTGATAATACCGGTTATTTAAAGCCTCGTTGTCTTTATTTTTCTCTATTAAAAAATAAAATAAAGAATGAATTTTAGACTTTTGGTGACATTAGTTTGTACTATTTCTCCTTGAATGACACTGCTGTCTTGGTAAGCAATAGTTATCTCGGTAAACTATTTATTTGCTGAAGTGCTCAGTGTGCTACTTAGCCTGTCCTGTGAAACGTCTTTTGTTTTATGATTTTGTTGTAGGCCTATTGAAAACCTCGTCTAGAAGGAATTCGTATTGCCTGTGTTACCGGGGAGAAGTTTTTTCTTAGTAAAGTCTGTACACGTCTACGGTTTTAAACATAAACATGTAATTATAATTGAAGAAGTACATGTTTTATCCTCTCACATTGTTGCATGGACAAAACTATGGTGATTCAATTCTGTGTACTTCAATTGTCTAACTGGCCCTAACTGACGCATCCTTGTTTTTTTTCACGAAATAATGTAGTCTTTACTTCCATAGATCTTTCGTTTATTGTGTAACTGTCCTCAAGTAAGTCTGTGTTCTGATTTAGTACTTCAAATGCACGACACTACTGTATATTCAGATTTTCTAATGTACTATTTCCAAGTTCATCTGGACGACCTTGCAAATCGTTACTAGTTAAAATTGTTTTTAGTTTTTATTTGGTTTATGTTTATGAACTTGTGTGAGTGTTATTAACTAAAGCTCTATATTCACATCAAATTAATTTATTTAATTTATTTCAATAGTATTTTTAATTAATTTCAGTTTTAAGAACGTATAGTAAATAAATCATTGTTGAAACGGTTGTACTATCAATCCAATTATTTTCAAACTCAAAGATTCCTGGACGGCAATTTTATAATACTAGTTGGAGCAGAGGTACTGGATCTAGGGTTAATAATTAGTGTCATGATTGTAATACTCTGTTTATTTCTTATACTGTAAAATATTTTACCTACGACCGTTTTTTAAAGTAGCCGTTTCAGTACAGTTCTTAGAATTGAAAAGTATCTCATAACAGCATTGTTTACTTTCATAACAGCATAGTTTTACTCATAACAACACGGGTAACGGACCAATGAGTTTCAAGGATTGAGAGAGGAGAAGCAAAATTGTAATGATTCGAAATTCAACTAATCAGCTGTTCAGGCCAATTTAATTGTTGATTGGTGCAATTAGTGAATTAGTGTTTGATTCCTTACTTCACTGTCAGTGGCAATGAGAGGTTATAAACAAAAACATAACCTCTCTTAGAAGTTATGAGTAGTGATTTTTAGTAATTAAAACACCGTCGTAGGTAAAGTAGTGTACGCAACTCGCGTAAATAGTGTTAACGACACAAGTAGAAAATTTAAGGTACGAGCCTTGGCGAGTGCCTTAAAAACTTCTACGAGTTTTTCTACGAGACACTATCTTTACGCAATCGTTGCGTAAACTACTATATGGCCAAACCACCGCAGGTGAAGCCTTGAGTATAGTATTTAATATGCCATTACATAAGCTAATACGATAAAAATCATTGGCAGCGTTATTAAGAAATGTAAGCGTGGTAAGTCGATCGAATAGTGGAACTAATTATGTGGAATGTTTGCTGAATATCATGAGACACTGTGACGTTTGACTTCTTTCTAAAGGCAACGAACTCTGATAACCAATGTAAATTTTAATCCAATAGACCATGTGGTCCTAATGTGGTTTTATGTCAAATGCTCTTTCATTTTCAAGATGAGCTCGCACGCATCAATCTAGCACGTCCTGGTTGATGTTCGTTTACTACGCTCAATCCGGATATTGTGGCTACACAAATGCCAATAAAAATAATGAATTATAATCAGCTATTCGCTTAGTTAATTTTGAAATATTTAAATTGTTCAGATCAGACAAATTGACAACAAAAATTGCGTTGTAAAAAGTCACTATGACATATTTCTGATGAAGGTATGCGAAGGGGTGGCAAGGTCATCCAACGCGGCTTCTCTTTCATCTACGCAGTACTAGGCTTCCCTGGACTTCCCCAATACTTTCGTTCTCACGCTAATGAAGGTCAGGTCAGGTTGATTGGAAATGGAAAGAAGTTGTAAAAGGTGCTTGTCATATTTAAGATAGTTTCTATTCATTTAGGGCTTATAAGGGTGTTGTTAAGTTAGGGAAAGCAGACGCGGTGGCGTTCCTTTGAAGATATTGACCGCCCTAGTGGCAAGTCCCGCACCCGTGGACTTTCCCCAAGACTTTGGTTCTCACAGTTATGTACGTCCAGAGAATTGTAAATTAAAACTGATTTATATAAGTTCCTCGTTATTTTTATGATAGTACCTTACCTATTCAGTGAAAGTTTTTAGGGGTGTTCTTAAGTAAGAGAATAGGGATTACAGACACGGTGGCGTTCTTTAGAAGTGGTAGGTCCCACTCCCGTCAACTTAAATATTTGAAGGGTTTGGTATTTTTTTTCTTTGGAGTAAATATAAGCATTGACTATATATATATAGTCAATGATATAAGGCAAGGACTTATAAAAATCTTAGCAACAACATTATTTTCTTCCGCGTTCTCTTCCCATTGCGATCACTTACATAGTTAAGTCTTTTTTGTTTTACTTGCGATGTCAGTAATGCTCCATATTTATTATGTTGCCAATTTATTGTTAATTTGTATTTTTCAAGTTTCCATGTTAGTTTTACCTGATATTCTCACTCACAGCAATGGCCTTTTCGAACACATACAATTAATATTGGCACGGGCTTGGAAATATGTTTCAAATCAGGCAAAAGTACTTGGGATCACACGATTAGCCGACATTTATATTATAGAAAGGATTTCATGTGCTCTAAATAACAATCTCTCTAGACATCGCCAGAAGTTATTTTCGGTTATATTCGGGCAACTTTGTCTAGCGATCTTTTAAGCTCATGATACCCAACATCTGTTGACCGTTATTAAGTCACTGGTATCGCGGTTGGTTAGTAAGTATCCCTTTGGTTAGTAATACATCATAAAACCCAAATACATTATATAATCAATGTTCAATAGCATTCATAGGAATGCCCTTTTCCTT